ATCTGATGAAGGGTCTCGGCCCGAAACGTCAGCCTCTCTGCTCCTATGATGCTGCTTGGCCTGATGTGTTCATCCAGCCCTGCACCTTGTTGTCTCAGATTTATATAGGATATCTGATCAACATGGACGAATTGGACTGAAGGGTCTGTTTCCATGCTCTATATCTCTATGACTCTATGAGTACAGGAAACGTGTGCCTTAATAAATCATTCATTCCATAGAAGCATGGTAATGAAAATTAATGGTGGTAGTAAAATACAAAAGATTCAACAAATGATAGTCAATAAAATTTCGATATTGTGAAATGGGTGTTTTAAAGAACTTTACAGTTTGCTTGGTTCGACATGTGTCCATGTATCTTTTACAACAAGCCTGCTATAAAATAATGAAATTAAGAAAACAAAGCTTCACAGAAGACAATATGCTATGGCAGCAATACTCACCGAGGTAAGTTCGGAAGATACAACCCAGATAATATCGACAGCCAACAGAACAATAATTCCAAGGATCATACGTCGTCTCTGGGGCGAACTGCTCTGTGAGCTCATTCGATTCATGATAAACAACCACACCATTTGTAATCTATAGAAAACAAGTTATATTACCAGATATAAACAGCGAATATTTAATTCTTCTGACATTTATTGAACTCCCTAATTTCACTTCTTTTCGCTCCTCTTCTGTAGAATTTTGTCTTCAACCAGTCCCTCTCTTTCTCTCTGCTGTGATCTATTTTAATGTTTAATTCATTCAAGGGTTGTAAACATCACTCACTGAGCAAACATTTATTGTCCATCCCTTATTGCCCTCAAGAAGGGAGTGGTGAGTTGCCTTCTTGAACTGTTGCAGGCCATTTGATGTAGCTACAGCCATAATTCCATTAGCAATGGAGTTCCAGGATTCTTGATCCAGCAACAAGTGATGGAAAGGTAATAGGTTTTCAAGTAATGATGATTTGTCCCATGCATCTACTGCTTTTCTGGGTAGCAATAGTTATGTGCTTAGAAAGCACAGCATAAGGAGCATTGGTGAATATCTGCATCTTGAAGATGGTACACACTGTTGCGACTGTACATTGCTAGTGGAGGGAATGAATAATTGTGGGTCTGATGCTGTCAAGGAGGTTGCTTCATCCTGGATGGCGTTAGGCTTCCTGACTGTGTTGGAGCTGCACTCACTCAGGCAAGTGAGGAGTATTTCATCACGCACTCCTGACTTGTCAATACATAGTGGCCTGGGAGACAGGTGGTAAGTTACTCACGGCTGGATTCCTAGCCTTTTCCAATAATCAGGACCTGTGCCATGTATTAAGTTCTCTCTCACCTCTGTAGTTGTTCCTAGCGTGTTTTGCAATTTTAGGTTCTGTACTACCAAGCAATTAACTATCAAATAGTGATCATAATGTGATCAAGTATGATTCAATGCTTAAACGGTGGACTCTGAAACAGTTCTACAATTCTAAATTTAACCAAGTCTGACTTTCATGAGATGATGTTGGGCCCGCTCATAGTAAAATGGGTAAATCTGTTATTGCATTGGATGATAAAAGGCTGCTGTTGATAAAAGAACTTAATGTGATCCAGAACTACTTTATAAAATAAAGTTAAGAGTTTCATTTGCAAATTAAATCTTTCGGATCCTGGAACCAAGGAGGACACAAAGGTCATGTTAGATTCAGATTTCCCATTGAATATTGATTTGGTTATCAGCCTATTGATGTGTGCACATTTATGAAGTACTACCAGAAAGAGACAAAAATCAAAGCTTTTCTTTGGCACTTTTGGACTAACATTCAAGAATCCCAAATTAGAAAGGAAATATCAACTTTTCTACCACAAGCAGAAGGTGTTAACAGTTGGACCTTGTTTAGCATAGAGAAGCAGCAAGAGCTATTGACTGTCATCTTAATTAGCTGGTTTAACTCAGATGAGGTAGGCAGGCTTTGGTCAGGATGTTGCCATGGTGAATGCAGCAGAATTAGTACTTCCCATAATCTTATCGTCAAATGAAAATGTATGGACAAATTCCTCTTGTCTACAAAGAACAGGGTGCTATGTGTGAGTAAATAAAGCTTCCCAGCATGCACAAATATTAACAATCAGTGTTTAGTGTTAGGTCATGCTTCCAACTTTAGAAATGGCATGTGGTAATTACAACCTATAGGGTTTACTCATAACTTCAGCATGTTCTAAAGGATATTTTACATCTAATTTGTTATTGGCCATAATGAATCAACTGGCGTAGTAGAAAAAGTTCTTATTATCACAACTACAAGGAGGGGTTCTGCCACTAGAGGGTTCAAAACTGTAGGTGAAAGTCAGCAAATTAGTCCAGTGCAGGTGGTCTGTGTCAATACAGTGTGGAGCTGGAGGATCACAGAAGATGAGGCAGCATCAGAGGAGCAAGAGAGTTGATGTTTCGGGCCTGGACCCTTCATCAGGACTGGGGAGAGGGAAGGGAGCTGGGAAATAAATAGAGAGAAGAGGAGTGGGGCTGTGGGGCTGTGGGGCTGTGGGGCTGTGGGGGGAGGTAGGTGGGATGCCGATAGGTGGATGCAGGTAAGGGTAGTGGGGATTGGTCAGTGGGAAGGGTGGAGCAGATAGGTGGGGAAGGCCTGACCTGCTGTGTTCCTCCAGCTCCACACTGCATCGACTCTGACTCCAGCATCTGCAGTTCTTGCTATCTCCAGGTGGTCAGTGAGCAGGGATGTAGGCAATGCTTTAAACAGAAAGGTATAAATATTTCAAAAATAGTTAATTGTACAAAAATAACTTACCTAGAAATAAAAAAAGACAAGGTGGCCACAGCTCAGCCAAAAAGTTGAGAAAATTGAAGGTATGTGTTCTTGACAAAAGAACACGATCATGGTAACTGCACTTGACATAGCAAATCTGAATGGAATTGTTGACGACAAGATATATTGACACACAGTTATGACCAAAAATCAGAAGAGAAAATAAGCTTTTTGGGGTAAGAAGTACACACTTATATAAGCATTTTAAAACATTATATATAGCTGGAGTATTTTAAATTTATGCAACAGAATAAACTTATTGCAAACCTGTAAAATTTCTAAAATTTGTATCTTGTAGCTAGGACACATCCCTGAAGTCTCCTATCTTTGAAGTATCTGTCACACTTTCATGAGTTCAGATAACAGCTGTCTTTAAAATTAACTGTGATCAGTTGATCAAATGGGCACTGACTAAATCAAAACAATCAAAAAGCATTTATCAGTTAAAGCTACAAATCCACAATCAAAAACAAACTCATAAAAATCAACAAAATGTCTGAAAAATAATCATTTGTATGACTATTTTAGTGCCCTCTAAATCTCACTCTGCGAAGATGAAATATCTGAAAAATACATTAGATGTCATGAACAAATAAGTTTCCACAAATTTATAATGGGTGATGTTGGTAAGTGGGGCAGGAGTGAGGAAGGAGAATGTATCTAAATAGCTAGCTCAACAGTGTGCATCAAAATTGAACAAAAGTATCTCCACAATCAAAATATCTACAATAAAATAAGGTCTCAGAATGAATTACATAAAACAAAAACAGACATTGCTGGAAAAACTCAGCAGATCTGGCGGCATCTGTGGAGAAAAAGCAGAGTTAATGTTTCAGGTCCCGTGTCCCTTCCTTAGAACCTTTGAGTCCAGTGATCGTTCTTTTCCATTCTGAAGAAGGGTCGCTGGGCCCAAAATGTTAACTCTGCTTTCTCTCCACAGATACTGCCAAACCTGCCAAGTTTTTCCAGCAATTTTGTTTTTGATTCTGATTTCCAACATCCGTGCTTATTTTTTTGGTTATAAATTGAACAAATATGGTTTAACGTAAATAGGATTGAAATTGTGTTTTTTCTTTATTCATTCACGGGACGAGGGTGTCGCTGACTAGGGATTTATTGCCCATCCCTCATTGCCCAGAGGCAGTTAACAGTCAGCCAATTGCTGTGGGTCTGGAGTCACATGTAGGTCAGACTAGGTAAGGATGGCAGTTTCCTTCCCTAAAGGACACCAGTGAACCAGATGGATTTTTCCTGACAATCGGCAATGGATTCGTGGTCATCATTAGATTAATTCCAGGTATTTATTGAATTCAAATTCCACCATCTGCTGTGGCAGGATTTGAACCAGGGTCCCCAGAACACCAGAACATTGTCTGGTTCTCTGGATTAACAGTCCAGCAATAATATCACTAAGCTATCACCTCCCCTACATCGTAATCTTTGTTCAATGTTTTGCTGTTAAATGAGAAGTGAATCACAGACTAGATATTTGAATCAAGGGGATTTGCGTATGGGAGGGAGACCACCCAGAACCAAAGGAAATTATGTCAAAACAAAGGGCAACCATTTAGAATTGAGATGCAGAGGATTTTATTCACTCAGAGGGTAGTGCATCTTTGGAATTCTCTGCCACAGAGGGCTGTTAAAATTTAGTCATTGAGTTTATTCAAGAGAGAGATCAGTAGGTCTCTAGGTATCAATTATATCAAACATAGTGTGGGAAAATTGCATGGAAGTAAATGATCAGCCATAACCTAGTCAAATGTTGGAACAGGCTCAAGGGGCTAAATGGCCTACCCTGATTCTACATTCTTATATTCTTCATGAAAAGGTTCAAAATCAAAGCAGAATGGCCCATTTCATACCAAAACAGATATTCCAACCTGTATCTCTTTAAGCACTTCTGAAGCAGCCTTCTGTACTTGTACTCAAAGGCATTACCCTGTGTTAGCAGAGGTTCTCATACCTAATGAGTAAGATAGATCCCTATTCAGTGGACACATATATCTCTTGGTCTATATGTACCCATATTTATTTCAATTTAATGCTAAAATGATTCAAGTTGTAAATTTAGGTCTGCTTCTATTTCAGTCTTCAGAATCAGAGGAGATTTCAATTTGACATCTTAATTGCCTTTCATTTCAGTACTGGAGTACAATTAAACAAATGTCAACAGAAAAATAGTCAAAATAACTCTAAACGAGAATATTTGAAGGGTTATGGGGAAAGGTCAAGGTAGAAAGATTTTGATACAGCTGTGTGAATATGATTTCTTCAAACAGGGAAAAAAAAATTCATTTAGATGTACCTCAAGTACTTTTTTCATACAGCCAGCTTCAAAGGTTCAACTGAATTTATCTTATTCCTTCAGTCACTTTTCTTCTCCATGTCAAACTTTACTTGCGTTTTACCTGTATCAGGTATTTCAAACCAAGACTGTTAATAATATTGCAGAAATGCTAACTCCAAATGAGAATTATGCAGTGATTGTAAATTATTACCCTGGGATTACAAAACAGCTGAAGTAGATTATGGCATCTGAAATGTAAGAATAGGATTAGACTCCAGGATCTGAAAGCAATAACTCAAGCTATTATATACACCTAAAACTTGTTTTTTGATTTATTTACCCAAAAATTTGAACAGCATCTGCATCGGGCAAGATTTCCTAGAACTAGGCCTATATGGGTCTGTGAATAGATCTTGTGCATATCTACTAACAGCACGTGGACTGCAGTGGTTCAAGAACACACCTCACCACTACTTTCTCAAGGGCAACTTGGGATCGCCAATAAATGCTGGCTGAATCAGTGATGCCCACGATCCATGAGTGAATGTAAAACGGTCGAAATCTAACACAGACTGAGATACAATTTTTATTTGTTCACTGGCAAGGAGGGCCTTGGGTAAATTGAACATGAGCAATTGCAATGCAGTTCTTAGTGGAAATGGGCAAACAGCACAAAGTTGGTCTGACTTTAGACCTAACTTGAAACTTCACTCAGAGGGACAACAGGATGTGAAAAATGGACACATGCCAAATGGCAGTACTAAGGGGCTACTCTTTGAAGATTGGAACTGAAACATGTTGTTGGGACTTGTTTTTACATCCAACTGTACTGAACCTGTTCAGAGAGAATTTAATCTGACTCAAAAGGAGAAATATTCAGTTCAGTTTCTCCATTTCATGAGTAAGAAGCACTTTTGCACATGCAAGGAGCATTTTGCTTTATCCGATGTAGTGCCATTACAATAATTCACAGATCTTATAGGGAAGTAGAATAAGGTGAAGTTACTCCATTTCAGCAAAAATACAAATGAAATAGTAAATTCATGAATTAGAAAAATACGGTGAACACAACACACAAAAAAACGTGTACGTCAAGAACCATATTCCAACTTGCAGCTGGAGTAGCAAATAATCTAGTAATTTAAGTGGACAATACACCTTTATCATCAGGTATTGTAAAAATGATGAAATATTAACTGGTTACCCAACACTACCTTATTCAGGGTGAGGTACAGCTCACTGGCTAAAGTACCGGTCACTTGCTAAAGTGAATAATAATCAATATGCAGAACAAACAACTTACACAGAAGATCAAGGGAAATATCCTCACCATAGATGGTAAGAAATAACCAAGATATACAAGGATAAAGGAACAGAAGGTAAACTATTTTAAACCTGGTGCTAACAAGCTAAAATTACAACAATCAGATAGGATTACTGTTTGCATCACATATTCCTTCAGCAGGTTATAATCAGAAACATACATTACTTTAAGCCACCTCGATGCACATTCTGTTTCACAAAAGAGTGTTAGCTTTACGGAGATTAAAGAAACAGATATTTCCTCATTGTTAGGTGAGAAACTTAATCCATTCTTTGACAATTAGCATTATAAGATCATAAGAAATAGTAAGTGGAGTAAGCCATCTGGTCCCTTGGGCCTGCCCCACCATTTAGTAGGATCACAGCTGATCCAACAGTTCTCATTTCCACTTTCCTACAATTTTATCCATAACCCTTGATTGCCCTACTGATCAAAAACCTATCTAAACATAACAGTGATTGCAATTGCTCATGGGAATAAAAGAGGGATGATTTGAAAAAAATGGTCGTTCCTTCTCCTCATGCAATTGTGCTTCTTTTTAAGCTTATTGAGAAGTGACCTGAGAGGTAATTTTGGCTGCCTGATTCTCCCAACTTAAGTAGTTGCAAGAACCCATCTAGGGTAGGTTCACTAACCTAGACTAGAGAAGAAAGCATTTGGTACAATTGGCTTGATTAGTCAATGCATTGAGTACAGGAGTTGAGATGTCATGTTGCAGTATTACAAGACATTAGTTAGGCTACTTTTGGAATACTATGTTCAATTCTGGTCTCCCTGCCAAAGGAAAGATGTTGTTAAACTTGAAAGGGTGCAGAAAAGATTTACAAGGATGTTGCCTGGGCTGGAGGGTTTGAGCTATAAGGAGAGGCTGAATAGACTGGAGCATTGGAAACTGAGGGGTGATGTTATAGAGGTTTATAAAATCATGAGGGGCCTAGATAGGGTAAACAGACAAGATCCTTTTCCCAGGGTAGGGGAGTCCAAAACTAGAAGGCATAAGTTTAAGTGGGGAAAGATAGAAAACAGGCCTAGGGGGAACTTTTCACGCAGAATGTGGTGCATGTATGAAATGAGCTGCCAGACGAAGTAGTGGCAACAGGTACAATTACAACATGTAAGAGGCATTTGGACAGGTACACAAATAGGAAGGGCTTAGTGGGATATGAGCCAAATGCTGGCAAATGTGACTGGATTAATTTAGGATATCTGGTCAGCATGGCCGATCTGGACCGAAGGGTCTGTTTGATGCTGTACAGCTCTGTGATTCTATAACTAATAATATAAAGTACGTCATTTGCCATGTAGACTTCTTCATTGCATGTTACAGCGATTAAAACGGTTACAGCTCATCTTGTAAATTTTGAAGTTTTGAAACATTACCAGACTTTAGGATTTCTGATAATGCATGTCTTCCAACTTTTGAACATGCTGAAGTTATAAGAAAATAATACAGATTGTAAATAAATCAAGCCATTTCTAAAAATGGTGATTACAGAAAATATGATCTAAAACAAATCACTTATTGTTAATCTTTGCGCAAATAGGACACAGACAGAGTGTTCTTGGTGGGGGAAAAAAATTATCCAAAAATTATACTATTTTCATTGAAGATAAGGTTATGAAGACTGCCATGCATTCCCCACGGCAGCACCCTGACTAGAATCTACCTGCCTGGTCAGATTGACAGTTAACAGCTCCTGCTACATATCCAAGCCAACCATAGTCCCACCAATAGTGCCCTCTTGCTCAAGCTACGTAAATTGATATTCCCTTTTGGAGTTTGGTTTCCTCTGTTCTAATTCTGATGAGTACAGCAAAACAGCTTTGATTTCACGTATCTTTTTAGCAATGTTAAGTTCTGTACTACCAAACAGTTGATTGTTAATATGTTTCAACATCCAATGGGTAATTTGTTTCAACATTCTGATACAAATGTATACGATTTCAACGGGCATAGAGTGGATAGGAAATCACTATTTCCATTTGGAGATGGGTCATTATCCAGTGCACATCTTTAAGGTAACAGACAGAAGTCTTAGTGGAGTACTGAATAGAATTTCTTTTTCACTTGGAGGGTGCTGGGCATCTGGATCTCACTGCCTGAAAGGGTGGCTGACTCATAAACTCTTGTAACATTTAAGCAGTATTCAGATATTGACTAGCATTGATGTAGTCTCCAGGACTATGGGCAAAAAAAATTGGAAAGAGGGATCTGTGTAGTCAGATGGTTGTTGACCAGCACAGATGCTATGAGCCAAATGGCTTCCTTCTGTGCTGGAAATGTCAATGAATCTACTGTTATTTTGAACTCTCAAACAGAATAAAGAAATTAATGATAAAATCTGTACTTTATCATTTAGATAATCTAATTATCAGTTAACTGATAATTAGATATCAGTTAGATGTTTAAAAATGAACTATGGTGGCTTCCATGCTTAACAAAAACAAAGAACCACTAATGGTGAAAATCAGAAACAAAAACAGAAATTCTTCTGAAGGAGGGCCACTGGATCTGAAATGTTATTTTTGCTTTCTCTCCACAAATGCTGCCAGACTTGCTGAGTTTTTCCAACAATTTCTGTTTTTGTTGGCTTCCATTCTTTTTGGCCAAGGAAGCAACTTGAAGCCTCAAAGATCTGACCACATAATCCAAGCTCACATTTTAATACTGCATTGTCAAAGATGTTGTCATTTGGATGAAACATTAAAACAGCCTCTCCCTTGACTGAGATAAGTGCACATGAATCCCTGATACTAATTTAAAAAAAAGAGCTCTCCTAATGTCCTAGTCGACTTTAATACCTTAAACAATAGTGAAAGAAAAAAAATAGCAAAATTATGAATTGTGCTTTTGTGGGACTTTGGTATGTATGAAATGGTTTTCATAATCACTTACATAAAACAGGGAATAGATGTTAAAAGTAACTCAGAATTAAATCTAACGTGAGAATATGGGTAATTGATATTGAACTTTGTAGTGCTCCTCAATGGCAATTTTACTGTCAAAGTCAATAAATCCTGAAAATGTGGATCATACCATTTATCAATCTAGACCACTCAAAACTTTTGACTTGGAAGTTGTAATATACTTCTGTAATAGCTCAATATAATGAGAATTCTCAATTCATAAAATGCTTACTATTCTACCATGAGGAACTCTCTTCCTAAACCTCTACCCCTTGCTAACTTTTTTCTCTCCATTGGAAATTTTCCTGGAAGTAACTATTTTCACACCTGCTTTAAGTGACATCAATTTTCACCTTCTAAACAAAAAAGGCACTTGAATATGTTATAAATTTTATGTAAAAACAAGTTGTTTTGTTGATAATTCCTGCATTGAGAATTCCAATATAAACTAACCTATTTCAACCTCATACTATATTGTTAAGCAATAAGTTGAAATAATAATACAACACAACCATGCATGTTACATTTTGACTGTATTACTTATTGCAATTTAATGCTTTCATGATGCAACCAAGATTACGATCAGATTTCTGCAATGAGGATTGAAAAATCCAGCATTACTTGAAAAGGTCCAAGCAAGGTCATATTCAGCGTCAGGTGAATAACATGTTTGCTTCCCTTGTGTAATTTGTATTAACATAAGAATAGTGTAACAGAGCAAAATCAATATTTGATTAACTTATACTGTACAAAGTTTTAAAATTAGGTGTCCCTTCACTACTTCTATCCAGAAGTCGCTCAACTAAAAGACAAAACTTAATTGTTCTGAGACAGTAGGAACTGCAGATGCTGGAGAATCTGAGATAACAAGGTGTAGAGCTGGATGAACACAGCGGACCAA